AATCACACATTTAGGATTTAAAATCAGAACCAAAATCAAACACATCTCTGTCGACATGATGAAGCTGAGCAGCTAAGCCATACGAATAAGAGTTTGAAGACATTCCTGTTTCTTTACTGTTTTCTGTTTTAAAGTCGTGATTTATCTGCAGCTTCCTGTCTTGTTTACTGAGTCTAATTATAAATCATTTTTATTACCAGGCAGGAATTTCCTGGTTAGGACTAAAATCTTCAGCCTCATTTTTATTTTTAGTAGAAGCAAATTTTCTTTAGTGTCATCATCCAAACTTTAATTGCCCAAAACAAAACAACTCTTCCTGGAAAGTTATTAAACCATTTCCAATAGATAGTTAGAAATATTTAATATTTAAATTTGTTAATTTTACTTGTTTTTCAAACTGAGTTCAAAATGCTGCACAAGTGAGAAAAATATTAAGCAGAAAACCCAACACAGATTCCTGCAGAAGTCAGTAGGGCCTAAAAAAACCAATCATCAGAACAATGAAATATAACATCTACATTTTAAAAGTGTGTTCAAATTAAATCCTAAATATAACAAGAGGAGCAAATATGAATTAACATGAATAATTTAAATATCAAATCTTTTGGATTTCAACCATATTATGAGCAGAAACTCGCAGTAACTAATTATTGATAAACTTGAGAAAAAACTTCAGACTTTTTAAAAGGCTTTTCTGACATGTTTAACTTTTAATTTATGTAAATAAAAAACCAATTAGCGAATAAAAGCATTAAACACGATAGCATCATCATATCTGGTAACTGGTGGCGCTGTTCTCCTATTTTTATGATCAAAAGCCAATAATATTGATTAATCTTTGATTCTTCTGATTCATGGTGCCGCTTAGCAGAGCGCGCCCCCGCTGCGTTTACCCCGTGGCGTGAACGCGCATCCGTGTGGGTTGCTAACAGCTAACTACCCAGTCGTGGGACTAGTGCTGCTGTTTCCTTCGTGGAAGTGACCACTGATAAAGTGAAACACGGACACGGAGGCTGTATCTCCACGGCGGGAGGAGCGGTGCTGGAGCTCCAGCCTGGCCGAGTGTCTCTCCGTCATGCCGGAACGGCTAACCGCTACCTGTCCCCGCTGCTCCGGGAGCGAGCCTCGGAGGTTTCCACCAAACTCTATTTAAAATCCTCCTAATTTAAGAAACCTCCAGATTCCAGCTTAAAAATATTAAATTCGGGGATATTCTTATATTAAACCCAAATGAAATAAAGTAATAATTAATACGGCTTTCGTAATGTTGGATTTTTTTATTTTTTTTTTGTCATATCTCTCAAATTCATCTGTCACCAGGAACAAGACACAGTTGAGCGACTCTAAGAGTTTTAAGTTGAAGCTAAAATAAAAGTTAATTTTAGTAAAAAAGGAGCCGAATTAAATGTTAGATAACAAAGATTTTAAAGATTTTAGATACAGTGGCTTTAATCCTTATGACTATATTCAGGATTTTAATAAAACAACCAAATGGTGCTGAGTTAAAAAGTTACCTGGCTAATAAGGAAGTAAGCAGAACAACAAAGCGAACTGAGCTGTACCGGTCCGGTCCGGTCCAAGGCGCGGTTCTGACACCAGGTTCGGACCCAGCGGCTATGCTCTCAGTGGTTAATGTGTAGTAAGCATGATGTTACCTGGTCAGCTCGCTCAGGTGGAAGTCAGTTTGAAGTGTGACAGTTGGGGCTCGTTCCGCTTCACTTCAGTTCACTCATGTCCGTCATTATTTCCTCCCCACGCAGAACCCGCAGACCCACGAGCAGACCGGGCTCAGCTTCGGGACACCATCACTGCGTGGAGAGCCCAAATATTTCATCCAGTCCTGCTTCGACAAAGCCGAAACCTCCAGGTGACACCGAGAAGAAAGAGAGTGGAGTTCCTTCCCCACTGGAAATTCCCCCCGGTTCCCAGGTTCACCACAGGGGGCAGCAGAGAGTCAGGAGGTCTCACTCCAATTACCAGGTTCACCACAGGGGGCAGCAGAGAGTCAGGAGGGCTCACTCCGACTTTTTATTTTTTTTTTAAAATCACTGGTTTTGAAATATCAGGTGAGAAAAAAATGAAAATAAGTAAGAACAGAAACAGAATAAAACATGAATAAAACTAAGATAGAAATCAGGATAAAAATGGAACAAAACTAACAGAAAAAAAAATCATTCAAAAAGTGAACCTCTTCCCCCACCACCCCCGAAAATTAGAAATAATACAAATAAGAAAACTGGAATAAGACAAATCAGAGGAGAGAGACACACCACATTATTTACCTGAAAGATTCAAGATTCAAAGGTCTGTTCCTCTGAAGATGTTAACTTTTTCTTTTAAAGCTTGAAGATTAATGAGTTCTGGCTGAGGCGTGAAAACAGAATCATTCCTCTTAAAATCAAACATAAACAGCCAAATTTCCATATTAAACCATTTTATTATGATTAAACACATAGACCAATCTGTTATTTAACCATATACATTTATGACCTATAATTAGCTTTAGCTAACATTCATCAGAACCTTTATGGGACATAGAAGAGGATCAATTAGTGCAAGTTACAGTCAAAACTCAAAACAGCTTCAGATTGCAAAAATAAACACGTCATCTATTCATAAAACGAGTAAAAAGTGTTACAGCAGACAGAAACCAGAGGCACATGAGAGAGAAGATGCCACTGCACCGGCAGCTAACACACAGCTAAACGGCTACGCACTGGGGGCGTGGCTCCGCCCACCTCTCAGCTGAAAGGGGCGGGGCCTCAGGTCGCCACTACGGAGGCACGAGAAGCAGAAACGTTACGTCAAAGCAGCAACAACACGTTACGTCAGGTTTGGCAGCGATGAAGGCTCGTTTGTGCGACTGGCAGTGTGGCAAAGTAAGACTACTGCATGGCCGGATAAAGACCCAGCAGGGCCCCGGACACCCTGGAGGGAACGGTGGGGGAGGGGGGGAACAGGAGGGCCCGCTGAGGGGCCCCGGGGCCCCGAACCACAACCTCTCCTGTTGTGGAGCTCCTGTGCTGTTGTTCTGGTGCTCTTTGTTTTCATTTAGTGAGAATGCCAAATTATAACAAATAACTTATGAAATAATTATTTAAATGTGTCACCATGTAAAACTAGAAATAAATACAAAAGTAATTTATTAAATGTGTCTCAATTAAATTACATATATGTAATTAGTTCATGACTGATTTTTGGAAACAGCCCTGATCCCGCCCTCTGAGTTTGATGGGTCAAGTTTACAGTTTAAAATAATTCATAATGTTAATCAGCGTGTATGCAGGAACATACATTTATTAAATCATGGAATAATTATATCTACTTTTAAAAATGAAGACATTTAATTGGGGTACAATTCATTATCTTTAATAAATGTTTCTGGATTTATTTTCAATTTTAATAAATTAGTAACACTTAAGTAATGATTTAATCAGTTATTTAATTATTGCAATTTGGCACACTTTGCTCTCCATAAAACTCAAAGAAAATGTCAGATTATTTTTACTGTAAAATGAAGAAAATCTGGAGATCCTCTCATTTTTTATTATTTAAGTCTAAAACCAGATGGTAATGAGATTAAATTAAACGTTTGAGGAAAAAAAGTCAAATATTTTCAGAGTATAAATTTATAAAATGACATCTGGAAATTCTTTAAGGCTCAAAGCCAAATTTAATGGACAGATTTCCTTTTAGTAAAATAATGACTTTAAACTACAAAGATAAAAGGAAAATTTGGACATAAATGTAAGAGTTGTCATTGGACAATAATCATGATTTTCATGTAACTAAATTAGATGAATCTGAACATTTTGGACCCAGATGATGTCTTATTACAATTTCAGTTTTTAAAATCCAAAAACATTTTATCTTCCTGGATTAAAACCCTGATCAGCCCGTTAATCCCAACGTGTCGATCCGTGGGGATAAAAGATGCTTTACTTTATTTTCTTTCAGTCAGAACCTCTGTGGTTCTGGTGCCGCCCGGCCCGGCCGAGTCTCACGTTTTCATTCAGACCAACAGGAAGCCGAGAGTCCAGGTTCAATGACCAACAGAACTTCTTGCATGTTGATCGGCTCCACAGTTAACACCACTGCGTTCCCCCTTGCAGCGCCTCCTGCTGGCCAATCAGCAGAACTGTAACCTGAACCCTCAGGAAGCTCAAAGCTGGACAAGACGCTTCAGTCAGAAGTTCTGAAAATTTACCAAACGGGTCAAACAGAACCCTGCAGTTTCACGTTTATCCAGTAAAACTGACCCAGAACTTCCAGAACGGAAAACACAGAAAATCACCAAGTTTTATTTTCTAGCACCAAAAATAAGAAAAATATGACAGCTAAAAGTAAACATCAGAGCTACAGTAAATCTAAACCCCGTCAACATGGAGGGTCCAGCAGAACCATCAGACCCATCAGAACCATCAGAACCAGAGTCCTGACTCCTGAAACCTGCTTCTGTCTGGACCACACATGACTAATTTCACCATTTCCTCTGTCAATTCTCCTGGAGATGATTCCAACCCAGCTCATACTGGGATTATACTGGGATTGCAGTTTAAAGCAGTGATAAACCCAGTTCCATTTGGACCTCCATATCCATCAAGACCATCAGAACCATCATCCAGACTCTAACCGGGTCACAGGAAGCTGGACTTTTCCCGACCCAGTTAAAATTCTGATTACTTTCCCAGTTCAACTTTGAGGATTTTTCCAGTTGTTCTCCAGTTTGTCCAGCTCTGAGTGATGTTGGTTCTGACCCGTTTAAACATCCAGAACCTTCTGAATTCAATTTGTTTCTCCGTCCAATTGTAGGACTTCCAGTCTCCCACTGCTGGAGGACTTCCTGGTTTCTAGCCAATCAGAGAGCAAAGAGATGTGTCCACTCCCTCATTGGTTCTGGAGGAACTGGACCTGGAGGTTCTAATGTTCTGCAGAAACCAGAAGGTTCTGGAGCTTCACCTCCTCAAGGAGCCCCAGAAAAGGCGGGAATCACCATGGCAACCGGTCAAAACATTTAATGTGGCAATGAACCAGGAGAGGAACAAGAAGCTTATGGTCCATGTTCTGGATGTTCTCCAGAACCTGACCCGGTTCTGGTTCTGGTCCAGATGTCTGCAGAGCAAACGGCCCGTCTGGATGCTGCTCTTCATCCTCCTCTTCTTCCTGCGATATTTCTACATTTAGACGATATAAATCCACAGCTAAGGCTTAGCAGTGGTTCTGGTTCCGCTCGGACCCGATGAACCCGGTTCTTCTCCTCACTCGTCCTGAATGTCTGACGGTCACAATGAAGATGATTATTTTTGTTTTAGGAGCAGGAATGAACTTTGACCTCCTCCTCTTCCTCAGCAGGAAGTGGAACCTGCGTCTGCTTTCCTGTGGGTCTTTGGCTACAAAGCTACATGAGTGGAATCTCAGCCACAGGAACCGGACCGGACCGGAGCGGACCGGCCTCCCGGTTTCAGCAGGAAGCAGCTACAGAGGCAGAACTGGCGGTCCGGTCCTGTCAGTGTCCCCCGTCTCTGGAGGACGGACTGTCTGAGCGTCCGTCACTGCTGGACGGAGACTTCCTCTGCTTCAGTTTGGACTTCCTGAGCATCCGGACCTGCAGAGAGACGGGACAAGGTCAGGACAAGGTCATGATGGATGAATGGAGCCAGTAACCAGTGAACCTGGAGGCCTAGCCGGGTCCAGCCGGGCCCGTGTTGAGCTCCGGCGGCCCTGCAGGGCCAATCCTCGGTACCTTGGGTCCGGCAGCAGAGATGATGATGTGTCCCGGCGCCTGTAGCCAGGGCTCGCCGTCCACCTGGACAGGAAGCTCTTTGCTGACGATGAGGCGGATGTAGGATCCCTGGGCGATCCGGATCCCGGAGCGGAGCCCGCTCTGGACCTGGCCCTGTGGAGACACGGCAGAGGTCAGAGGGACGCTAGGCCGAGACGATCCGAGACGACCCGGCGGCACCGCACCATGTGGACGACCCCGGTGACCCCGACCACCTCCAGCAGGCCGTCGTCAATCCTGGGCCTGGAGAACCGGCCATCGGCCTCCGACCCCCACAGGTCGGCTCCAGAACCCCAGCTGCAGAGAGGAGCGGACATGAAGCGGAGCGCCGCCCTGCAGGGGGCGCCGTGCGTCTCTGTGCGTTACCTGGGGATGTTGAGGAAGATGAGCCCCTCGATGTTGGGCAGCGGGACGGGCTGCTTGTCCACCTGCAGCTGCAGCTCCTTGTGGAGGCTGCGGCTGCGGCTGATCTTCTGCAGACCCACCTTCACGTAAACGCCTTTGTTGTGGAACCTGAGGGCATCAAGGTCGCACTCACATGTTCAGAAGCATAAGAGGTTTGTTTATCAGACAGAGACGGGTCGGATCCTCCGGGCTACCTGCTGGTGAATTTGTCGGGTTCTCCCTCCCGGGCCAGGTGGAAGTCCAGGCTGAGCTCGGCGTCGATGCCGAGGCCGAAGTAGTTGTTCATCTGGACGATCTGAGAGGAGACGGGCTATAAACCAGCTACAGCTGCTAATACTGCTAAAACAGGTCCTGGTACAGCCATTAGCATTAGCATGCTAACGCCTCAGGTTGCATGTTTTCATCCTTCCCATCAGCCACTTGAAGTTCAGGATGAAGGACATTTTTTAAGATGGCCGCCATTTTGTCTCGTCATGTTCATAAAACTTTACAATAATAAAATCCAGCAGAATTAGAAACTGAGGATTTTACTGTTAGCGTCTGAGAGACTGATGAATTAATGGTTAGCACTAGCTAATTTTGTTTGTATTTAGCAGTTTAGTTTTTATGCGTTTAGTGTTAGCGTAGTTCATCACTGGAAACAACCACACCTGATTTTAATTCAAAGATTTATTCTTCATTACAACCATAGCGGCCATTTTGAAAAAGGAAACGCCATACCAAGAGAATATAAATGATTTCTATGGTTCAATATAAGACTAATTTTAATGCAAAAATTAATTTTGGTGGCCATCTTTAAAAATGACAAAGTATTAGTAAATATGATTTCTGTGAATCTTATTATGTTTCGACACCAAAAGTATTAATCTGGGATAAATACTTTTGACAGCTAAATTTTGTGCGATAATAAATTCTCCTTGACAACAATGACGGCCATCTTGAACTTTTGTTGTTTTTTTTTTTGTTTTTTTTCAGAAAAGCAGGTCAACGTCTGTGCTAAGTCTGGTTCTTGTTTAGGTAGAAATCCTCTCTGGCCTTTGGTCAAACCTTGGGCGGCTCCAGGACGCCGCTGTCCTTCCCGTCCTCTGAGACATCCTGCGCGTCCAGCAGGATGGTCCAGCGGTCCATCTGGACTTCATCCGCCTCATCCACAGACGCCAGGATGTGGTAGGGGTCGTCGCCGCCGTAACCCGGCCCCCAGCGCAGGATCCGGGCCAGGTCGTTCCCTGACCAATCAGAACGGAGGAACCCGGAAGTCAGATGGCGATGGAACCAGAACCTCCGGAGGATCCGCCGGTCTCACCTGTTCCCAGGGGGACGATGCCGATGGGCGGCTCGCGGCAGACCAGCTTGTGCCTCACGGTCTCCAGAACCCCCAGAACCCATCCCACCGTGCCGTCGCCACCGCAGACCAGAACCCGGAATCTGGGAACCTCCCTGAAGGCGTGGAGGCTGCAGCACAGGAACATGTTCTACCATCACATCAGCAGGGCCAATGAGCTTCTGGACCAGAACCAGAACCAGAACCCTCACCCTGCCAGCGGGCCTCCGTTGGTGATGTCAAACACCTGGTGAGGGTTCAGCAGCTTCCTGAAGCTGTGCAGCAGCTCTCTGCCCTTCAGCCCGCCGCTCTTCGGGTTCACGAACACCAGCAGGGGGCAGACTGCGTCCCCCAGCTTCTGGCACTGCAGCCAGAACCAGAACCAAGAGAAACCAGCCAATCAGAGGACAGAAAAAAACAAAGTGGAGAAACAGTCCTGATGGACATTTCCCTCTAAAATATAATTTTTTATTGATGTGGAGGAAAATTCTGATGTTCTGAGATGCTGAATGTTGGGTTTTTATTCTCTGTGAGCCACCAGAACCATCAGAACTGAAATAAAGAAATGCTGGAAGAGTTTCGCTCTATGTGGCATAGATCTATATAACAGAGGAGCGTCACTTGTTCAGAATCAGATCTGAATCTATGATTGGATCAAATTCAACATTTATGGAGATAAATTGGGTTTTACTCTTTGAATCTGATTCCATGAATAAACTGAATAAAGATGGCCGCCGACTGGAAGCTGCCAGTCTGGATATTGAACTGGTTTCCAGTGGAACCAGTTCAGTGGGGCTCACCTGGATCTCAGGTATGATCAGTGATGTCAGCGTCTTGTTGCTGATGGTCGTGTCTTTAGACAACATGTAGATCCTCTCTGCTTCAGCAAAGCAGCTAATCTGCAGCGCCACGGCGCCTAGAAACACACACACACACACACACACACACACACACACACACACACACACACACACACACACATCACTGCAGATTGTTAAGATCCCCGGGTTCATTCAGGTCTTGTCTCGAAGCCCTGATGAAAAGGTGGTTTCCATGGTAACAGCCTCACCTTGAGCTTCATAGAAGTGAGTTAGCGCAACCAGGTGACCTGCAGAGAACGACACGGAGGAAAACGAGTCAGAGCAACGGAGGCTGACGGGCAAAAAGACAGCAACAGAAAACTGCAGAAAATATAAGCAGGTTGGAAAACAGCAGCAGGAATAAAACGCTGCAAACGTCAGTCTGCAGTTGCAACGTCTGGTCTGAGAGCAGCTTGGTTTGTTTTGCTGCTATTTTCTGATTTTTTTGTTGCATTTGGATATTTTTATGCTTGTGGTTTTCAGTTTGGATCATTCATGTGTTTGCTGCGCTGTGCAGAGCAGCGTTCCTCCATCTGGACAAACCAAAGCAGATAGCTGTTGTCATGGTAACCAGATGCTGACTCATCGGCTACTAATCGTTCTCCTGAGCTGATTATTTGTTAATAATTAACCTGCAGGTCTCTGTCCACCCAGCAGGGGCGATGCAGAGTGCAGACTCACCCTTGAAGTCCAGGTGTTCCTCCAGCAGGCCGCAGTACTCCTCTTTGGTCAGCAGGGGGGGCAGTCCTGAGATCAGCAGGCCGACCTGCACGGCTGGGTTCTGGTTCTGGACTATGTAGAAACGGGTCTGGTTCATCTGACGCAGGGAGAGCTGCAGCAACAGCAACAAGAGCAACCGTCAACCTTCACCGCTCTGATCTCACCAACACAACCTGAAGCTCCGTCCGACTCACCTTCCTGATCTCCTGCAGTTTGTCCACCATCTTCTCCTGAGGACTCAGGGTTTGTCTCTGCACTGTAGGACACACACACAGTTAGAAACACACACATGTTTGTGTGGCTATCTTTGTGGGGTCTTTCCATTGACTTCCATTCATTTCTACATCCTAACTCCAACCAACCAAAACTCAAAACACACCTTAGTCCTAAATCTGACCCCTGACCCAAAAACAGCGTTTCCCTTTGTGGGGCCCAGGCTTCGGTCCAACAAGGAGCAGTGGGTCCCCACAATGTAGTATGTGTCAGGAAAATGGTCCCCACAAGGTATTACAAGCAAACGCGCACACACACACACACACACACACACACACTGAAACACACCCAGCTGCTCACCTTGCTTGCTGCTCATGTAGACTTCCTGCAGACTGAAGCTGGACGCATCTTCACCCTGAAACAGACCAATCAGCTGAAACCTCAGAAGGAAATGCCCCCTGGGGGGCTAACAGGGGGGAGGGGGGACTGAGACACAGCTCCTCCCCCTCTCAGCTCCTTCAGACTAGCCAGCAGCAATTAGCAAACAGCTGCTGAGCTCATTATAGGAGCTGCTGCTCAGAGTAAAAACATTTAGGGGAGTCATGTTGGGACGGCTTCCTGGAGGCGGAGCTTCAGAAGGAGCAGGAGATTTAAAGAGACAGAGGCTCAGTAACATTTCATATTGCAGCATTTTAATAGCAACTGAAGGTAACTTCGTTCCTTGATTAAAATGGAGAACACGTTGCATAAATAAAAATAAAACAAACTTAACTAATAAAGATGATACAGGTAATAACTCACCTGTCTGTCCAGCTGCAGCAGAACGTCGCTCAGGACGGACGCCGCTGTGCTCGTCTCTGACACTTCCACTGACACTGCACTCGACCTGAAATACAAGGCGTATCCATGGCAACCAGCCCTCAGGGGTCAAACGGGTTCAGGACGACCTCACCTGCTCCAGGCAGCGTGCACCTTGATGACATCATCACGCCGTAGCTTGGCCCTCAGCACCCGCGCGTCGCTGCTATGGTGATGCTGCACGGCACCGACGTTCTCCAGGTCAAAGTCATGAGGCTCGCCAGGCAGGTAGAAGGCCCTCAGCGCCGCCTCCTGCAGGACGGAGCCAGAAGAGCAGCCGAGGTCAGAGGTCAGGCCACCGACAGAAACAACATGGCCGCACCCAGCTGATTCCTGGGATGCAGCATCAGGCTCACCACTTCCTCGTTCTTCACGCCTCGGCAGCTGGGAGCCAATCGGAAGAAGCCGCGTCTCAACGCATCATCGCCGTCAAACACCTTGAAGACCTGCTTACCTGAAACCACAAAGGAAGAGTGTGACCTTTTGACCCCTGACAGCCGGAGTCAGACTACTTCCTGGATCCTTAGCAGGTCCAACAGTTCACATCCAACCAAACATCCAACCCTGAGCCAGACCCCTGGATGCTTGACCCAGTTAAACCAGTAGAGGTCTGGTACTGGGACGGTAACTGGTCTTACTGGTCTCTGGAGCTGCAGACTGGAGCTCTCTGGGCGCAGCAGCTGCTGGTTCGGCTTCATCCCAGTTATCTGATGGAAACGACAGAAAGTCGAAACGTTTCACAAGCTAAACATCCTGAAGGTCAAAGGTCAGCTGGAGCGGATCCATTAAAACCAGTTTATGAACCAGCAGAGATGGAACTGGAACAAAACTGTTACATTTTATTTTAAATAGTTTGCACTGGTTAAAGTTATTCAGCTTTTATCTAAAACTAAATTTACATTTTTAAGTGAAATTCTTTAAATACGTTTTTCTACTGGATTTAGTCTGATTTTATTACTTTGTCTTCATGGCTTTTATTAAAAATATTATTAGTGTATTATATTTCCATTAAAATTTGTAAATTAATTAATTTCTCATGAATAAATAAGATTAATTTATGTAAATAAATAAATTTATTGGATTATTATTTAATTTTTTTAATCTATTTGAATTTATTGCCAATTTTTTATAGTTTTTTTGTTTAATTTGTCAGTTTGATTCGTTATTTTACACATAAATGTCTTCATGTCTTCATGTCTCCGTCTTTCTGTGTCTCAGTTCAGATCAGCGGCGCTGCTAACAGGAAGTGATCTGAACGTTTGTGGTTTTTCTTCTTTGGTTTCAGAAACATCACAGGAAGTGGTCGAACTCACTGATGATGTCATCAAGCCCCGCCTCCTGAGATCAACTGAACCCACATGGAGGCGACTCTCAGTGAAAGATTTGGTTTGATTCAGAAACTACTTTCTTATTGAGATTCTGTTTAAACTTTGTGACGAGGAAAAGAAAGTAAACAAACTGAAGATTTATTGAAAACAATTGTAAAAGCTTTTAAACTGCATCAGTTTTATTTGAACAAAAATAGATTTATGCATGAAATTCTGCAAGTTAAATTGCCATTATCAGGTTAGCTTAGCTTCATGGCTTCTTCTAAAAATAACAGCAACAAAAAAAAACAAAAAAACATAGTAATTAAGCAAATTAGTCTTCTTAATTTTTCAAGTAAGATTAAGATTAATTACTCTTTAAATTAAGATTAAAGTGAATGTTTTTTGTATTAATTAAGCAGACTGATAAAGGAAAGGATCCCCCTCACTGCGGTCCTGGCTGCCGCTCTCGCCGATCCGGTAGCACTGCATCTTGCTGAAGTTCCTGGACTGGAGTCGGACGCACGGCGGTGGCAGCAGCATGCTGCGGAGTCGCCCCAGGGCGCACTCTGCCGGGAGGCGGTGGCAGCAGGACGCGTGGCTCTGCGGGGGAACAGAGGATGGCGTTTGGACCGCGGCGGTTCTGGTGCGGCGGGTTCTGGAGCGGCTGGACTCACCGTGACGCCGCACCACTCGCACCTCAACCCGGACAGAACCTCAGAGGAACCGCAGGAGCGGCGGCAGAACTCGCAGCGTGCCGACGCTGGGTCGCCCTCCCTCCACTGGTGCTGCAGCGACTCCTGTGGGTCAGAACCAGAACCAGAACATCACTCCTACAGGCAGCAGAACCAGGGCCCAGTCATTAGTTCTCACCTAAAAACATAAATAGTTTTTAATTGTTATTGATTGCAGATTGAAAACCGAAACACTGAGTTCGTTTAAATCCAGAGTAAAATCCAGCTGGTCAGAGACTCATTAGATATGAAACACTGATCAATATATTTGATGTATTGATGGTTTTATTGATGACAGAATGTAAAGTTTGTTCTGAAATCGTCAATTGTATGATGTTTCTATTACTTTTTATTTTTATAAAGTAAAGGACTTTGAGCTGCTGCAAAGTATTCTATAAAAATAAACGACTGATTAAAACTTGCATTTTTTTGCTTTGTTAAAAGACAGATATCTAGTTTTTAAATATTTTTATGCTCAGTTAAACTCGTTTATCCTCGGCTGTAAGGTCAGGATCCAGGTCAATGGATCCATGTTGCGGTGGAAAATGACCTCAGGGTGAAGCACGATGCAACCAATCTAACATGGCATTAAAAACAAACATGGAGGCTCACTGCAGGAAAACCACCTGCTGCAAACGTAAAGCTGCTTAAAGCTGCAGCAGGCAACTTCAGCAAACAGACGAAATATTTTACACATGTATTAAAACTTTTGCTAACATAAGACAGATCATCTCTGAAAAAGATAATTGAGCTCCTCTGCCTCCTCTCTGTGTTCTGCAGAATTACTCAGCTCAGTCAGAACCAACCAATCAGAACCAGCTTTACTCAGTTTTAGTTTAGTGACTCAGGATTGTTTATTTTGATGCAACCTGCATTTGACTTTAATGAATGTTTCCTTTTTTACTTGACATTATTTGATAAAGCCAATGCTGTGAGATTTATTTGGCTCGTTATAATTTAGGGTGCAGAGGATTGTCCAGCGTTTGTCCCGGATCGGTGACCGGCTGTCCAGTAACTGTCTGGTTTTAAACACCAGTAAGACAGAAACTGATTATTGCTCCCAGTCACCTGCACCATGACATCAGCCAGAAAACTGGATCCTTCCTAAAATCAAAGGTAAAAAATCCAGGTGTCGCGTTTGATTCGTCATCAGGCTTCGACTCACATTAAGGCCGTTTCCTGTTCTTGTTTCTGTCATTTAAGAAAGTTTTCTAAAATCAGACAGCTGGTCTCCAGAGCTGATCTGGAGGAAATCATTCATGCTTTAGTCTCATCTCGTCTGTTACTGTAACACCCTTTTTAGCTGCTGGATAAATCCTCCTGTTCACTCAGCAGCCAGTCTCGGTCCTCCGTGTCTCCTGGTCTGCTCTCTCTCTCCGGCTCCCAGCTGACTGTAGGACTGGTTTAAAGTTCTTGTTCTGACACACAGAGAGTCAGGCTGCTGCTTATCTGTCAGGTTTTAACTAAACTTTCTGCTTCGTTCTCAGACTCTGAATCTCCTGGTTGCTGCACGGACACAGTTAAAAACCAAAGGGCCCCGGGCCCCTCAGTCGGTGGCCCCCAGGCTGTGGCCCTCACAGCTCCGGTTTCTGACTCTGAGGTTTTTTAAAGAGCAACTAAAAAAATTGTATTTTCTCAGGCTTTTATCTCTGGATTTTATCGTTTCTTCTGATGGTTTCATGTTTTAAGGTCGATTTCTGTCGGACAGCGCTTTGTGATTTTATGTCTGTGAAAATCTTTATAAATAAACTTCACTTACTTACTAACCTTAGTGTTAAATATTATTTTACTGATTGCAGGTTTTTCAGTCCTTTTGACTGAATAGCAGCTGTTCTATGCCTGCATGTATTTTGCATGTTTTATGTCTAAATTATGTAAATTTACTGCCAGATCATTTTTCAGTTTTGCCAGATCACATAGTATAATTTATACCTAAAGCGAAAAATGAACAGCCAATCCAGATGATCGGCAGAGATCGGTGATCGGCCTCATGGATGATCAGGATCGGCTGCAAATAACCTGATCAGAGCATCCCTATTATTATTATTATTATTATTATTATTATCCATCCATGCATATTTTGATGTTCTGGTAAACAGGGCCACAAATCTCCAGTAACTTTTTACTCAAAAACAGACTTAATCGCGCCCGATATTTAGGAGTCTTGCTATGCAGCCGGAGTTTGGATAGGGGCGGAGGTAGGAGGTGGCCGTGGGGCCCCGGCCCCCTCAGAAATAAGCATGTGAGACTCCAGTTCTGTCACGGTTCTCTTTTACCTGCTGCAGGTTCTGGTCCAGGTGGCAGCAGCGACAGTCTGCGCAGCTGAAGGCGGCGCAGTCGGCGTGGACGTGCAGCTCGCACACTGGAAGACAGGAAGTAGTTTATCAGAGGCGATCAGCGCGAGGACGACAGAGACAGAGCAACTGTCAGAGCCGCACAGAGAGGAAGATCAAATCTCTGCTTTCATTTTTTAATCTCATTTTTAAGTAAATACAGATGAAGGTCCAGATATCTGGCCTAGTCAAAGCTCGGCTTTTGGAGACCAGGACATCTGCACAAACGTTTTCTAATATGATGTTAATCATCTCAGACCAGCAGCATCGCTGCTCTTAATTCCCATCAGAGCTCTGAAGTCACCATACTGGTTGTACCAGCAGGTTGAACTGGTCTGACTGGTGATGATGCTTCAGGCTAAACTGGTCCCACCTTCACAGCGCAGCGCCGTGCTTCCCTCCGTCTGCTTCCTGCACACGCAGCAGAAACGCTTCTTCTGACCGGCCGGGCCGAAGCAGTGAGCCACCGGCACCTGCAGAGGGCAGCAGACAGAGACCTGTAATACTCGTTCCTGATTGGCTGGTTTAATATCAACAGAGAAACAAGAAGCAACTTTTCATGACAGTTTCATTCATTTAAGAGAAGCAAACAAAAAGACCTCAGACAGCAGCACATCAGGCGCTGATCTACAGAACATCCATCAGAACCATCTCTAAAGGTTCTGGACTCTGCAGAACCTCAGGGAGAACCAGGATCCACGCTAAGCCGCTAAACACATAAAGAATTAGCGGAAGCTAACCCTAAACCAATATCACAACAACAGCTTAGCAGAAGCTAACACTAAATCTGTAAATACATAAAAATAATTAGCAGAAAATAACTAATCAGATAAATACATTTAAAAAATGGAGGAAGTTATCACTAAATCATTAAGCACATTAAAATGTTAGCCAAAGCTAATGCTAACAATTAAGAGAAAAGTTGTGCCTAACGAGAAACTTAGGTTCACTAACCACTAACGGCTGGACAAAAACCTCAGCTATGCTAACACTGACCTTCTAAACGCATTAAAAATTAGCAGAAGCTAATGCTAACCATTAAAACGATGGTGTGTGTCTCACAAGTTCATCTCTTCAGTTTCTGCTACACTTTATCACTTTGAAGTTGTATGAATATGATGACCAAAGAGGAAAACATGATGTGACAAAGTTCATCCCAGTCAGAAAAATGTGGAACATTTAACGACGATAATTGGTCTAAAAGGCTCAAAGATGGCGGACATTTTAAAAGTGAGATATGAGAAGCATTCTGAGGCGTGATCCTGCTGATCTATATGCTTGTGTGAATACTTTATTCCAGTAACATGCTGCTCTGCAGACTCACCTGAACCTTAGACGGAGCCATGCAGGTGCAAACCGCCCGCAGCGTCTTCAGGCATTTCTCATGACACATGAAGTTACACACTGAGGAAGAGGAGGAGATGAAGGTCAGGATGAAGGCTCAGCTCCCTGCAGTGAACGATTCCTGCTGATTTCATCAGGAATAAAATTATTTTTTTATCATCCTGGGTTCAAATCTCAGCTAGGTTAGTCTGACTAGTAAATATTTCACTTTCCTCTCTCTGCAGCCTGAATGAAGCTTTTCCTTCCGTCTACCTTTCTAGCGCATCATGGCCGTTCTTCAGAGTTCAGTTCATCAGAATCAGCCGCTTCCTGCAGAAAGGAATCAAGCGGCTCCGAGTGCTAGCAGCGCTGAGCTAAACAGACCAGCAACCCTTCAGAGGTCACGACCCCTCTGACGAGTGCCAGCATGTTCTGGTTTCCATGGTGACGCCAGGCCTTCCCCGTGCTCTGCCGGTCCGATCGGTTAGAGCGACGCGGCTCTGAACGGACGGATTTGAATTTCAGTTTCAACGTTTTTGTTGAGAAAAATATGCAAATAGTGGCTATAAATAGCAGAGCAGTTCTGGGTTCTGGGAAGAACCGGACCGGACCGCTGGAGGACCGGAACGGACTGCTGAGGAACTGGAACCGGACCGCTGAGGAACTGGAACCGGACCGCTGAGGAACCGGGAACGGTCCAGTTAGGAACACAGCAGCCTGAGGAGGACAGCGCTGGACGGTACCTCCCCCTTTAACTGACCCGCTGGTTCTACCAGAACTGGGTTCCTGAATTTGTCCCATTTGCTCCGAACAATGAAACTGGGGTCAGAGGTCGGAGGTCACAGGCTGTCACACCACACAGCTCTTTCTGCTGCTCACAGAAGGTCAGCTGGCTGAAAGGTTAATAATGGATCCGGTTCTCTCTCCGACCCACAGATCCATCCGAATCAGAACCGGCCTCCTGGATCTGATTACATCATGGAGACAGATAAAGCCCATCGATGACATCACAGCTGCCTCTTAATCTACGTGATCCTCCAGGACACATACACACACACACACACACACACACACATACACATACCCCCACGCACGCACACGCAGCATCCCGCTCGCCTCCTATTGCCATGCCAACGACTCGACTGCAGCTCCAAACTGATGGAGACGATTTACATTCATGAAGGAGGAGAGTTGACCTCTGACCCCAGGATGGAAGGGAACTGTTAGCCCTTCGTTGTGTCTGACAGGCTGGGTCTTATCCATTAGATCAGGGCTGCTCAATCCGGTCCTCCAGAGCTCCCGGCCTGCAACTTTTAGATGCATCGTTACTCCAACAGAGCGGATCAAATGGCTGGATTCCCTCACCAGAAGCCATTCATTGGATTCAGGTGTGTTGGAGCAGGGATGCATCTGAAAGCTGCAGGTATCTCTGGAGGACCGGACCCTGCATTACAGCCCCTCTTACTGTCTGCCCTCACTTCTGTCTGACAGGCTGGGACTTACCTTCGCACAGGAAGCCGATGAGACCCCAGACGAAGTCGCTGCAGCTGTGGCAGAAGGTCGGCTTGGTCAGGGTGACTTTCTTGAAGCAGTGGCCCATCGTGGACTGCTGCGCCCGCCTCTTCACGGCAGCCGGACTCGCAGCCCGGCAGTTGGCGGCGTCGGGGTCCGCTGGGCTGGGCCGGGTCGACTCGGCCATGTCCGTAAACACCGTTTTATAACACGGCACCACACGGTGTACAGTAAACTGACTTCTGAGGTAGAAAGGTCGTTGTTCTAATGGATGTTCAGCCCCACAGTAAGCTCATCCCAGCGGCCCGGACGCGGCGGCCAGCCCGGGGAAGGGGCACTCTGCTCGGGGAGGGTCTCGGAGTTTCCCCCTCCTTCTTCGGAAGCTAATCCAGGTCCAGAAATTCAACCCAAACCCATTAGGTTCCAAATTAAACAAATCACAGTTTTATACAGATCACGAGTCTGTTGTCTCCAGATAAAGAGCCATTTCATCGGCCGGATCCAGCGGTTTTCCCCCGCGGAGAGGACGCTCAGGACGGTATGGAGGGTCCCTCCGAGCCGGCGAGCTAACCAGCCGCCTGGTTCCGTCCAGAAATATCCACAAATATAAACCAGGGCGGTTCTAATCCAGGGGGAAGAACTACCCGGCTGGCTTCCCAGCAGCTCCCCACGCCGAGCAGGATCCGTCCGGCCGGAGACAGCGGTGCCAGCCGGCAGCGCCGCCCGCAGCAGCCTCCCGGAGCCGGCGCTCAGCAGGCGGGATGAATAAAAGATGACATATTGATCCGACGAACCTGAAGACAGCGGGGCTCTGCGGAGGTACGGAGCCTCTGGAGCCCACTGAGGAGCACGTTTCCAGTCAGAGCCATGAGGCTGGCAGCGGGAAACGAGCCGGAACAGAACCGGAAGAAAGAGTCGAAGCCCGGGAGAAGGAGCAGAAAGGCCCCGGGGAGCCGGAGGTGGTTCAACAAGTGGTCCGTCCGTCTGCAGAGGCTCCTTTCATTCTGCTGCTGCTTCCTTTTCAGAGGCTGCTTCTTCTTCCGCGTTTGAGTCTCCGACACTGATTTACTCCTCCTCCTCAGCTTCATCATCTAATCTTCCTCCTCCTCCTTCTTCTCCTTCCCTTCCTCCCTCTCCTCTTCCTCAGAAGCTTCCAAAACTTCAAAATATAAAATCCTTTATTGATCCCAAAGGAAAATTAAACGGTGCACATGCTGATCTCCTGTAGAATCTGTCTTGCAACTATTCTGAAGATGCCTTTGACTCAAGACACTGTTGTTTAAGGCTGCATCACTCCCATCAACCCAGTTCAGTCCGCTTTACTCCAGTAACCCGACTCCAGTCCGCTTTAACCCGACTCCAGTCCGCTTTAACCCGACTCCAGTCTGCTCTAACCCGACTCCAGTCAGCTCTAACCTGACTCCAGTCCGCTCTAACCCGACTCCAGTCCGCTTTAACTCGACTCCAGTCTGCTTTAACCCGATTCCAGTCCGCTTTAACCCGACTCCAGTCCGCTTTAACCTGACTCCAGTCCGCTTTAACCCGACTCCAGTCCACTTTAACCCGGCTCCAGTCCGCTTTAATCTGACTCCAGTCCGCTTTAATCCGACCCCAGTCCGCTTTAACCCGACTCCAGTCCGCTTTAACCAGACTCCAGTCCGCTTTGACTCCAGTCCGCTTTAATCTGATTCCAGTCCCCTTGCCTAGAAAGTCCGGTTCATTTGTGGAAGTGTGAATGCTAATTGAACTCTGATCCACCTACAAATCTCAGTCTGAATTCAGTCGTAGTCAACTCAGGCGCAGCGAAAACCAGAGACCAGTAAAAGTGGACTACAGCGCAGGGCATTCTGGGTAAATACAGCAAAAACAAACATGCTAGCCTAGAGAAAATATCAGAGAAAAGTCTAATATGATGCCATCTAGTGATTCGAATTTTTCCCCTTCAAGCAGATAAAAACATCATGACACTGCAGATAACTATGGAGATAGCTCTTCATAGTTATCTTCCTTGTTTCTCATCTTTTTAGTTGTCTTTTTTACCTGAAAACATTTACACAATAAAAAAGGTAAAATATTTAAATTATTTTAATTTATGAAAAATTCAAAATGAATGTGATGGTTATTTTTATTTTCACCAGAAAAAAAAAAATCACCAATTAAATGAATGTGCTTGGTGTCAATTCATGGCCTACATATTTTGAACCATAAAACTCATATATATTCTTGATCCTGTTTCCTTTTTCTGGTGGACAATTTGGTTGCAATGGAGAATGAAGGAAGAAAGGAGCGGGAGATCGACAGGCGGATTGGGGCAGCGTCTGCCGTGAAGCGGGCGCTGTACCGGTCCGTCATAGTG